TATTATTTAGAAATAATAAAATAAAATAATGAAATTTAAGCTTCTTTTTGTGATTTTAGTTCTATGTAGTACATAGGATATGCCAGATTTGGAATTTCCTAAATAGACACCTGTAATAATGCTCAATGATAATAATTGGGATGCAATTACTCATTTAGGCAATTAAGGATTAGAAAAGCCATGGTTTATATTCTTTTGGGCTCCATGGTGTAAGGGTTGTCATAGAATAGTTAAAATTTGGGAAGAAATGGTAACTATTTATAATGGTACAATAAATATTNTTTATATCAACTTTTTCTAAAGAATATTATTGTTATAGTTTAAATATACATTCTCAAAATTAAATAGATTAAATAATGATTTATTTCATAGAATAATCATAAAATTATTATAAAAGAATATTAAATAATATATAAATGTTTGATTAATTTATATGAAAGATTACTAAGTATTCAATTAATTTAATTAAAGAAATCACAAATCTAATTTAATAGTAAATTCTTAAGCAAGATTGTTAGTTGATTATCTAATAATTTTATAAAAGTTGCCATCCAATATTTACTCAAAACATTATGAATAGATTACCTAAACAAAAATATTAATCGAATCATAAATGGTGATTAAATGGAATTAAATGTTACTGTCTTATTAATATTAAATATAAATATATTAATTTTAGATTAAATTAATATATATGAAATGTAAGAAATTGATAATTTATAAAAAGAAAGAAATAATGTTTAAAGAAAATATAGTAAATTGTAATTTCTATTAGAGACAATAGAAATTAGAAAAAGAATGAATTATATATAAAAATAGAGGAATTAATATAAATTAAATATGATGAATAAATATAGGCATTAATAAATATACAATATATTTCAAATAATATCTAAATAATAATGAATCCAAACTCATTCAAGCTCTATAAATCAATATGCTCAGCAGTGACATCAACTGGCTTATCATTCACTAACTTTACAAATAAAACATTTATTGGAAGATCAATTTAATATTTAGAGTATATGAATATTTCTATTAGTTAGTCATTTAATTTACACAAAAGCACCAAGATTATCATACATTGAACATTATGCTCCAGTATATACACCAAAAAGAGTTACTTATGCTGCCCCAATCTGTTTGACTTTAGCTGGCACTGTATTATTAGCTGAAGTAAGAAAATAATAATAAATAATTGATAGATTGCTTGGACTAACAATGCCAAAGAATAAGCAAATAATTATTTTGTTGCAACAAGAGAATGAAATATATTATTTAGAAATAATAAAATAAAATAATGAAATTTAAGCTTCTTTTTGTGATTTTAGTTCTATGTAGTACATAGGATATGCCAGATTTGGAATTTCCTAAATAGACACCTGTAATAATGCTCAATGATAATAATTGGGATGCAATTACTCATTTAGGCAATTAAGGATTAGAAAAGCCATGGTTTATATTCTTTTGGGCTCCATGGTGTAAGGGTTGTCATAGAATAGTTAAAATTTGGGAAGAAATGGTAACTATTTATAATGGTACAATAAATATTGGAGCAATAGACACGTATCAATAATAATTAATAAAGATATAATTAAGAACTTATTGGTGATAGGATTGGTATAACCAAATATCCAACCTTTGTGTTTTTTGATACTGATAATTAGATGTATTTTTACAATGGTAAATACTAATTGAATAAATAGAATCTACTAATATTGGTAATTTCACTCAATTTGTAGATGAAAAGAAATATCTACATCTAGAACCTTATGACACTCCAAAAGAAATTGATCACTTTAAAAAATGGTTAAGAAGAATATTCTCATTAAAAATGGTAATCAATACATATTATCATTTAGGTACCTGTTTATGTTGTTGTTGCTTTTATAGTAGTATTGACATCCTTATGCATTTATGGTAATAAACAAGAGAAAAAGGATAAATCAGAAGCTAAAAGAGTAAAGTTAGAATTATATAGAAAATCATTAGAATAATAGGAGAGGGAGGAATACCTCAAGAAAAAGAGAGATTGAATTTGTTAATAGGTTAAATAGTTTATAAAACTTTCTTTCTAAATTATTCATATTCTTTAAAAAAATCTAATATAATTTATTTAAAATTAACATTTTAACTGAGTATGTTTCATTAAATAAATTGCTCAAATATAAATATTTAAATGGAATTTGAAAATGATAACACCTATATGGATGATAACTTATTATCAGGACTATCATAATAAACACCTTCTAAAGATGATGCTGAAATGCACTATACAGATTCATTTCAAGTTTCACCCTCTTTTTAATAATCTTAACAAAAATAATAAGAGATAAATACTATCAAAGCAGAATTCATGACAATTACTAATTATGCAGATTAATAATATAAAAATAATGAACCAAGCTTTAGTTTAAACAATTAAAGTATCAAATAAGATTTTTACTGTTTTTAGTAAATTTATGAAAACCTTGCAAAAATTTAATAAGAATTTAATAATTAGTCATGTCATGAATCTTTTAGTGATATTAAATCAAATCTTTAAGAATTATAAGATAAATATTTATATTAAGTCATCAATGCATCAGACTAGGTAGTCGAATTTCAAAATCAATAATTGCCTTTTAATAGTGAAGGTAAACATAAGAGAACTAGATCTGAGGCACCTCCATCAATTACTAAATTTAATGTAAAATCAAAAAAAAATGAGACTTCAAATTTAATTGAAAAATCATTTGATACTAATATTTTTCAAAAATAAAGTGAGGAATATTCGTTACTTATGGATATTATCAAATAAGATATAGAAAATATTGAAAATACTAAATTTCAAGATTATGAATAAAGCATGGAATTAATTGTCCATTATTATAGATTAAGAGAAACATATTAAAGTTAAATTGTTGAGAAGGATAATATTATTTAAAACATCTAAGACACTAATGCTTAATTAAATTTCACTATACAAGAATATTAATCAAATTTTGATGAACTAGTGTCTAACTTTAATTTTGATATTAAAAGTTTAAACAATCAATCTAAAGATGAATAAGTGCCTCAAGTTATTTAGAAGATATAAGAATTAATTCAATAAAATTAATAATATGAATAAGTTTTGACTATCAAATAAAACTAATTTTAAGAATAATAGAATGCATAAAATTAATCAATTAAAAAAATTGAAGAATTATAAAATTCTTTTGATAGTCTAGTAGAATAATATTAATTGCTTACTTAAGAAAAAATAAACTAAAATAAGATTATTGATTCACTAAAATAGTAAATAGAAATTTTATAATAAAAATCTGAAGGTGACTAAATCAATTCTCTATGCTAACATTTAAGAGAATTAATTAAATATATATTGGATTTTATCATTTTGTCAAATAAAATGCTTTAACATATATATAATGAATAAGGAACAAAATTAGATTTTCCAGATTACAAAAACTTTAGTGAAGCATCATCTACTCTATAAACTTTATTATAAAATTAAGATGTTAATAATTTGAAAAAGATATCTGAAAATTTCATTGCTTATTCATAAGAAATAGAAGTATTTAAAAAATAAATTTGTTTAAAATATAGACTTTTAATTGAATCAATTATAAAATAACGATAATAATTAATAGAATCACTGTAAATATGAAAATAATAAATATAATATATATATATATATTTTAAAATACTCTCATTAATCAACTTCCTCATTGTTTTTCTATCTTCTTTATGGATTATTGTCATAATTTCTATTATTGTTTCTATTGTCATAATTTCTTTATCCTCCTCTCTATGGTTTTTAAGGTTTCCTAGATGAAATAAAAGTAAATGATACTTGCTTCTAACTGTAATGTAATCTTCTTCTTCTTATTATTATTCCTCTTAATTTGAAGGTGTCTGTTTGTCTACTTTTTCTTCCCATAATTATTCTTATTGATAATTTCTGTCTCTATTATGATAATGTTATTTATTTCCTCTGTATGGTCTATCATAGTTGTTTCTTCTATCATAATTATTATTATTATTGTAATTTTTTTTATAATTTCTTCTATCATCATGATGGTAATGATGTCTTTAGCCCTCTCTTGTTTAAGGTTATTAATCTTATTCTGGTTATTCGACTAAATTTTAATTATTTTCTAAGTTTTGTTAATTTTATGGTTGTTATTCACTGAATTATTAATTTTCTTATGTTTCTTATACTTAAAGTTATTCAACTGGTTTTGATTAAAGTTAGACTTCCTCTAGTGGTGTTTAATTAGATTAGACATGTTATTCTTATTGTTAAATTACTTATTAAACTTATTATTAAATAGGTTCTGTTTCATTTACTTATTAAATTTGGTTAGATTCTTGTTCTTATTGTTAATGTTGAATTTCAAACTATATTTATTTATAACTTATATACTTTCAATCCTTTCCAAGGTTGATCTGTTTTGGCTGATTATCCAACTATTTTGGATTACAATTTTTTAGCTAATTCATGTGTTGATTCATGGTCTTAAGTTAAAAGAGCAACTAATTATGGATCTTAGGAGAGATGTTAAAGAATAATAATGTATGCTTCAAGAGTAATAATAGATCCTTATTGTTCGGCTTCTTTCTTAGCATTGAGCCAATTCGAGAGTTGACCTTCTAATTCTTTTATTCTTTCATTATTTTCTTCTTTGTTTTAAATCTTTTAGATCTATTCTTGTTTCAATTCTTTTGTTTTTTGTAATTCTTCAAGGTCTGCAATGTCTTTGAGTTTCTTTTAGAGATTCCTGTATTTTTTAGCCAAAAAGTTATAATAGAAGTCTTTTTCCTCGTTTTTGACTTAATCCCAGATTGATTTGTTCTTTTATTATTTACCTCCTTTCATTATGTATTTTTTTGAAAAATATTTTTAAAAATTAATACTAATGAGATTATAAATTATATTATAGATTTATAGAGCATTCTACTCTGTTAGAATGGATAAAACAAATCTATATTAAACATAATAATATATAATGATAATCTCAATTCAAATATTAAGGCAATTGGAATGATTTGCATAAATCATTAGCATACATAATTAATTATTGATTTTCTTATTAGTTTGAATATTATTTTAACATTTCCAATAGGCTGATGAGAAGAGGACTGGTGAGTATTTTTTAAGATATATTCTCTTATCCCTTTACTTATTTATAATACGACACACAATCGAGTAAACAAGTAACACAAAGACGAATATATTCCTATAATTATTAAATAATAATTAATACCACAGTAGGTGTCAATGACTTTTCAGATGTTGCTTAAATAAACATACACAATTCAGATATTGTTTAATAAAGTGGTAAATAAGGTATCTTATTTAAGTTGAATGCATGTAACATGCATAAATAACAATTTAATAAGGCATCATTTAAATTTTCATAATATTCCAATTGTGTCATGTCTTTATTCTAGGTGAAAAAGATTGAAGCAGTGAATCCACTTTTAACTAATTGCCAAATGGCTTAAAAGTAGGGTTCAGCCTCATGCTCTGCTATTAAAACTATGTCAGCTATGCAAACAAACAAAGCTATTTTGGCCACTCTGTTCACTTATTAGTCCTTTGGATTATTACTAAATCAATTACATTAACACAAGTAATTAGATATTCTAAAATTCTTAAGTATTTGCTAAACTCTTTATATTGAAGGGATCTTGCAATATCAGCTAAACACAAAATGGCTCCTTTAAATGTTTCAATTTCTAATTTCTTTTACAATCCAATTTCCAAATAATTTTACATAAAATCATCTAATAGTGATTTAAAATTAATTTTGCTATCTATATAATAAATAAAAAAATATATTTACATTAAGCAATAGCACTAATTGCATAAAAACCATCTTATGTGACAGTTTAGATCTTCTTAAAATAATCAACTATAAGTTAATAGAAATTATTCATCAATTATATATCACATTAATCACCCAATACTACTAATCTTAAGAAACAAATGTGAATGGCTGATAATAATCCAGAAATATTAGCCTCCTTTTACCATCTAGTTTATGAATAAACTGTAAGCATTTATTAACCAAAAGCTTCTAAATATGTCTTAATCTTTTAAGGCTCTTTTATGCATTGTAAACAATTTATGATACCAACCCAAGCTATATCTAATAAAGTTCCATCCTAAAAATCTTATCTACCTATAACAGTTGCAAATTAAGAAATAAGAAATTCATAATATTTGCCAAATTAGTTTATAGGATCATCTCTAAATGCTTCTGTTATATTCACAAGAGTCCATAATAAATATTTTGTTAATTTAGTATTTCCTTATAAAAATTATGAAAATTAATTAATGTATTCATCAGCAAATTAATGCTTCAAAATAACTAATGGATAATTTTCAGCAATTCTTGTTATTACTCNTTGAATATTATTTTAACATTTCCAATAGGCTGATGAGAAGAGGACTGGTGAGTATTTTTTAAGATATATTCTCTTATCCCTTTACTTATTTATAATACGACACACAATCGAGTAAACAAGTAACACAAAGACGAATATATTCCTATAATTATTAAATAATAATTAATACCACAGTAGGTGTCAATGACTTTTCAGATGTTGCTTAAATAAACATACACAATTCAGATATTGTTTAATAAAGTGGTAAATAAGGTATCTTATTTAAGTTGAATGCATGTAACATGCATAAATAACAATTTAATAAGGCATCATTTAAATTTTCATAATATTCCAATTGTGTCATGTCTTTATTCTAGGTGAAAAAGATTGAAGCAGTGAATCCACTTTTAACTAATTGCCAAATGGCTTAAAAGTAGGGTTCAGCCTCATGCTCTGCTATTAAAACTATGTCAGCTATGCAAACAAACAAAGCTATTTTGGCCACTCTGTTCACTTATTAGTCCTTTGGATTATTACTAAATCAATTACATTAACACAAGTAATTAGATATTCTAAAATTCTTAAGTATTTGCTAAACTCTTTATATTGAAGGGATCTTGCAATATCAGCTAAACACAAAATGGCTCCTTTAAATGTTTCAATTTCTAATTTCTTTTACAATCCAATTTCCAAATAATTTTACATAAAATCATCTAATAGTGATTTAAAATTAATTTTGCTATCTATATAATAAATAAAAAAATATATTTACATTAAGCAATAGCACTAATTGCATAAAAACCATCTTATGTGACAGTTTAGATCTTCTTAAAATAATCAACTATAAGTTAATAGAAATTATTCATCAATTATATATCACATTAATCACCCAATACTACTAATCTTAAGAAACAAATGTGAATGGCTGATAATAATCCAGAAATATTAGCCTCCTTTTACCATCTAGTTTATGAATAAACTGTAAGCATTTATTAACCAAAAGCTTCTAAATATGTCTTAATCTTTTAAGGCTCTTTTATGCATTGTAAACAATTTATGATACCAACCCAAGCTATATCTAATAAAGTTCCATCCTAAAAATCTTATCTACCTATAACAGTTGCAAATTAAGAAATAAGAAATTCATAATATTTGCCAAATTAGTTTATAGGATCATCTCTAAATGCTTCTGTTATATTCACAAGAGTCCATAATAAATATTTTGTTAATTTAGTATTTCCTTATAAAAATTATGAAAATTAATTAATGTATTCATCAGCAAATTAATGCTTCAAAATAACTAATGGATAATTTTCAGCAATTCTTGTTATTACTCTACCAGCAGCATATCTCACTTATTTATGAGGATCAGCTAATTTTTTTATAAATTCACCAATTGCTGAATTAGAAAATTGAAATAATTCTAAAACATCAGATGTCTCAACCATTGAAGAAAATGCTAATAAAGAAGCCTTTCTATTTTACCATTCTTGTGCTTAAAGTGTATCTAAAATATATAATGAATAATTAAATTACTTTCAATAAATCTTAAATAAAGTTAATAACTTAGATTTCCTAATGCTTCACTAATTGAAGATGCTGCCTTATATGCTGCCTCTTAAACTCCTTATTCTTCATCATCCTCTTCATCCTCATCAGAGATAAGCAAGTTTTAAAGTACAGCTTAAATTAATTATTATGATATTAATTGTAATGCATCCTTTTAAGTTTTTCTGAATCCCAAATTAGTTCTATTACTTACAGCAGATCTCTCATTTATTTCAGATGCAATACTCTACCATATTTCCATTGTCACAATTGCAAAATCAAATTTATAAATACTTTCTTATGTACAATTCCATAAACCCAAAATATATTATTCTAAATTGATATATTATTAAAATTATTACCTAAATAATCAAAAATTGCTTTAGTATAGTCAATTAAACATTCTAATGCTGCTAATCTTATTTCAGAATCTTGAGATATTGCTTATTCAACCAATAATTTAGTCACATGATCTCTGATCTATTATTGTGCCAATACTTAATCCATAAATTATAAACTATCCTTTAATGCTCTAATTGATATCAATTTGATTTCTTTCTCTCCTTATAATCCCATACATATTCCATACAACACTTTTTCACTCTCAGACTTCTCTATTGATTACTTTTAGTTTTTCAAGGCTTCACAAATATAACCAAGAGTTATAGTTGCCGCTTTTTTTACTTCTATTGATTCATGTCTAGTATTTGATACTAAAATGCTGATGATTTCAGGCCATTCTTATCTTGGTAATTCTATTGCACATATCCCTGATAAACACTATATAATTAATATGTAATTATTACACTTGCTGCTGACTTTTTTATATTTTAATCACTAGAAATTAGTTGAGAAAGCAACTCATCTTTGATTTTTCGCTTTACATCCAATCCAATTGTTAACCATCCTTACTCATAAGTTATACATCTCTAAAGTAATGTTCCTGCTGCTACTCTAGTCTAAGAATCCAATTATGGAGATATAAATGCATTGCTGCACTTTTAAAAAAACTCATTTGGTAATTAATGCTTCAAATTCACAAGCTACTACTCTGCTTAACTACGCTAATTATTTTCTTTTGCGAAAAATGCTGCCTAAATTAATTCGACAAATTCTTGCATTATTTTAAACACTTTAAATACTTCAATTTATTTTTTAAATTTAATTACTTATATACTAAACCCTTCATAGTATTTATTATACTATAATTTAATCATTAATTAATGTCTCTTTAGGACTCAACTATTCCATCAATATTATCTTTCTTAATCACATAGTTTTTGACTATATCCAATCATTAATTCCATTTTAATATTAAGTAAAACATTAGATGTCCTCATATTCTATAATCATAAATAAATATAATTTAATAGTAAATAAAAGTATATTGGATTTGAAGACAGTAAATACTAATCTATTAACATAAATTAAATACTTAAATTCTTTTTTGATTATATAATTTCAGAAAAACTATTAAACATATATTCAAAATTAACAAATAATTGCTTGATCATTTTTTAAATAAATAGAATTCTAAATTCCATAAATAAAATGTATTTATATTTTCTTAGAATTTAAGCATATTGTATAATAATTGATTTTTTTTTAATTTCGACTTGATAATAATTAATAATTATAAATCATAGATAAATAATGCTTGTTTGATTTTAAGCAGTCTGAAAATATTGTTCAAAAAAATTGACCTTCATCCTTTTTTGAATTTACTTATATTAAGGAGACTTATATTTATTTAAGTCCTTTATTTCCTATAATTACCCATTACTCCTCTATCTTTAACAATAATCTCATATTTTATTCATTCAATTCATAAGAGTAAGTGTTAAATGAAAAAATTAAAGAGGTAAATGATAATTTAATTAATTATTTTTCTGCTAATTAACTTTTTCAAACTTTGAGCAAGATTTTTATAAACAAAGGCCTGCATTTATTGTTAGTTAAAAACCTTAATGAAGATGATTATTTTCTCAATTAAATTTACGAATAAAAGTTTTATTCAAAAATAGATGATGATAACATAACTTATTTAATTCTCCAGAATTAATAAGAGTTTCCATTTAAATTGTAAACTTTTACTATCAATCGTCTCTTTAATAAAAATTTGCTATATTATTCTTATAACTTTCATATATTAATAAGAAAGTCTTTATTTATAATTACAAGAGATGAGTGAAAATTTTAAAGTTAGAATAATTATATTTAACTTAAGAGTTTAATTTTATAATACCATTATTGGGTTGATCGTTTTATTACATTTAACTTAAATTCTTATATGATGAGAAATTAATTATTATAATAACTTATTGATTTTATTATTTTGAAAATAAATTTCATGTACAAGTTTTCCATACGCATCAGAAAAGCTTAAGTGAAAGATTATTATTATTAATTTATTAATAATGGCTATTTTTATTTATTTTGTCAAATCACTACTAATTTATTGATATTGAAATTCTTTTAGAAGTAGGGCAACCTTAAAAATAAATTCAATTTAATTTCATCTGAATGTAATAACTATTAAATTTCTGATAATTACTATAATTTATCATATTATGGTAGTCTTAATAAATAGAGAATATTGAAAAAATTGAAATAAAAACTTAAAGATATAAGGTTTTTTATTTAGTATAAAAATAATTCATACTATTTATTTTTACGGTTTTTTAAGAATAAATAAAATTTCAGTACAATTTTTTTTGTTTAAAGAAGCTTTGCATCTTAACAAAAGGGAAATAAAACTACTTTAATTATTATAACATTCTCCTCAAAATACTTTTAGTTGAAATTGCATGCTGGAAGAATGATATAATAAAAATATTATTCTAATTAGATTTAAAAAAGTCAAGCTTAACTATTAATTATGATATTTGATTATTTTAGTTGTTAATCTTATTTTTTAAGCCTTTTACCTATTACGATAGTACAAGTGAAAATTAAGCAATTATGTTGGAATAAATATTTAATCGAAGTATAAATAAACGATTATGTGATGTAATATTGATATATTAGTATTGTTACAATTACATTAATCTAATGTTACTTGTGCTTAATTGATATTTCAGATATTTTCTAACATCAAAACATTAATAAAATATATTTTTATGGAACTCGAATAATAGTAATAGCCAGTTAATTTAAAAGAGCTTAATCTTTCTCGAATATCTTAGTCAAGCATTAATATAGATCCATAAGAGGATTATTATGGAGGCTATTCAGGAAGATCATTAGAATCAAACATAAGAGAATATCAAGAAGTTAATGAATTTAAAAAAAAAAATCTCCAAATTGAGTTATCAATAGTTGATTATTTGAGCTCTTTGAATATCAAAATGAAAACAGATCCAAAAGCAAAGCAAGATAGATACTTTTGCAATTTAAGAAATTAAAGTAAACGTAGAGCTTTTACATAATTGGAAATTGAAAAAGACTTTTCTGATAATACTCCAGACACAATACTTAAAAGTTCATAGGTTTCAATATAAATTAATACTCTACTGGAGAAACGAAAAACTTAAATAAGTTTTGCAAGCACAAATTAAAGTATTTAGAGTCAATAAGTGATTTCATTATTATAATAAGAAGGAAATAAATTTTAAAAGTAATAACTATATGAATGTGAGGAGATGGATAGTGTTATTTCCAATTAATCACTTTATTGAATCAAATGATATTTATTTTTTTTGCTAAATCCCAGTCTTTTGAACTCAAAATACCTAAAATTATATTAAAATTTTAATTTTCTGTTTTTAGACAAATATTCAATAATCAAATGTCGTTTCAAGAAATATAATATAAAAATATTAAAAAAGTATTATTTAAGTTAATTCTTTGTGTTTTCTCATTAATTTATTCATTAAATTTAATAAAATGAATTTAATGAATAAATTAAGAAACTAGAAATAGCTACAATAATATAAAAATAGTAGGAATTAAAAATAAAATCAAAAATTAAAAGCACTAAACAAAATCTAATAACTTAATTGTTATAAATAATATAAAATTAAGAGCATAATTAGTAAGAAAATTCTTGAATTCATATAAAATCAAGATAAGTTATCTACTTTAAATTAAATCAATTACATTGAAGAATTTGAAGTTGAAATTTCTGAACCTTGAATTCTTAAAATAAAATATATAATCAAAAATTAATTATACTTAAAGAACTAAGAAGATTCCTATTCAACTTTGAATGAAAGAAATTAATTTTCATCATATTAATGTAAAATTGATACAATAAAGTTTGAATTAGATTAAATTACCAATAAATCAATTTTAGAAGAATTAATAATAAAAAGATTTGTAATTTATGCACAATCATTATTTAAGATTATAATAAAACCATTAAAAGGTTTAATAAAGAACAAAATATTGTAATAAAATTAAATCAAAATCATTGACTTTTTAGTTTATATAATAACAACATAATATTTGTTATTAATAAAATTATTATTATTGCTAAAAGTATTTTTTTATTATATATTTCTTCATTTTATAGTATTTGCTGATTTTATTTAAAATTATCTTCTTGTTATTTTATTTCTATATAATATATATTGATACCTTCTCTAAGTTATTGAATTAGAATAATATTTTATTATGTTTATAAAGCTTCTGCTACGTTTTGATTTTCATCTAAAGCCTATTGAAAATCCTACATTATTTAATGTTAATATTTTTAATTGATTGTAATTAATAGTAAAATCTAAATAAGCAAAACTATTAAACTTGAAATTTATATTTTCTATGAATATTATCAAATAACACACTTGATAATCTTATTGATTAAATGATATCTTTGAGATACTAAAATCATCTATTATAATTGTAGTGAATTAAATAATTCACAAACTAAAAGTTATTATTATTAAATTGAATTATGAAATAAAATTGTTAAAAATACAATGTTTAATAATTTTATATCATCTTCTTTTTCCTTTACCTGATGCTCCTCCCATTCCTCCCATTCCTCCCATTTATTTCATCAAATCTTAAATTCCATCCATTTAACCCATTTATTTCATCATATTCATAACATTGTCCATTCCTCCTAACTTTTAGAGCATACTAGGATCAATAGCCCCTTTCATTTTTTACATCATTTATTATGGATTTCTTTTAAGTTGATCAAATTCATTTCCTCCTATAAAATTATTAATATTTTTTACTTTTTCCTCCTAAATTAGTTTTAGCTAAATTTCCAACTACTTTAGATAATTTCTTATGTTCATCTAATAAAATGTGAACTTCTTCTATAGATGTGCCGGATCCTCTTGCAATTCTAACAATTCTACAAAAATTTAAATTGCCTAAATTAATATAATTATTTACCTTCACCATCCAATTCTTCTTATGTCATAGAATTCATTATACATAAAAACCTCTAAATTCTTTTAATAGATTCTTTTTCATTTCCTTTTGATAATACTGAACTTCCCATTCCTGGTATAGCAGACATAAATTAATTTAAAGATCCTAATTTAAGTACAGAATTGAATTATGTTTATAAATCTCTAATAGAAAATTTACCCTCTTTTAATTTTTATATTAATTATGGTTAATCTCTCATATTTACAACATCTTTAACTGATTAAAATAATTTATTTATATCTCCTAATCCTAATAGTCTTCTTACAAAAGATGAAGCTTCAAAAGATTCCAAATCATCAAAATGCTCACCTTCTCCTATGAATACAATAGGAGATTCTGTAGCTGCTACTGCTGATAAAGCACCACCACCTTTTGCATGTCCATCTAACTTTGTTATAATAACAGACCCAACATTAACAGCTTTCTTAAATGCCAAGGCTTAATCATAACAAGCTTAACCAATTGATGAATCCATAACAAAAACTATATCATCTGGTTTTACTGCAGCTTCTACTTATTTCATTTCTTCAAATAAATCATTTTCTTATTTATGTCTTCCTGATGTATCTACTATAATTATTTCAAAGGCTTCTTTCTTAAAAACATTAACACCCTCTTATGCAATTTATACAGGATCAGCTTCAGTATAAGATCTAGCATTTATTATTATTTATACCCATAAAATGGAACTCTCACTTTAGTGGCATTTTATTTTAACTAATCAAAAGCACCTGCTCTAAATGTATCAGC